TGGCCGACTATTTGATTTTATTGAGCGTCTGAGCACTGAATGCCGGCTGAAATAAGAGAAATGAGGATTCCCTAACTTAGCAAGTTGAGTTATATACTCTTGGGCTCATAAATTTGGCTTGGATGATCACTTCATGCGGCTCTTCAAACACATGGATACACACTTGGTTGGACGAATGGATAGCTTAGCATCTACTTGGCATGTACTCGTACCCAGCATCAACGTCAAATCTCAGCATGATATTTGAACTTAGCACGATAATTGTGTTTCATGTGCCGCATGTTTTACTATGGCTAGCTTCTTTGGTTGCAAGTGCCCCCTGCTAGCTTGAGCTACGACACCTAGATGCCGCCTGCTCTCGAATGCTTCGACCATCTGAACTCAGCCAAGCCGGATGTGTTTTAGAGCCGCCTCCTTGCTGTGTTGCTAGGACTAGGCCGGCTGTCTATAGCCATACAAGGGACTTGCTGTTGCGTGCATACACATGGTGGTTGTTTCTTTACAAACATTAGCAATGTGTGCGTTTGATTCTTGATGTTTACCCATGATACTATGAAATTTCAAAAGGCACTCATTTTGAGCTTACATGGTGCTTTGGTAAGGATGCCGAGCTGCTCTTCTCAATGGAGCTAACTTTCAAAATTTTATTCGGCCACATGATGCCGTATGATCAGATTGCCGCTTGTTTTAATTATGTTTTGATCGTGTTGGGCATTATTTAGACCAAAATGATTCAAGACTCGGCCCTCATTACAAAACATGAAGACCCATATCACCTCACGCATTGCTTGATGCGTTCGCTGTGGATGCCGTCTGCTTTCATGAAAGACAAGTGGTTTGTTGGATTTACTTGATGGCTAAACAGCCGGTTTCAATGCTTCCCATACATAAATACAACTGCCTAGCTGCCTATTTTTTACATACACACGAACTCATTCGTCTCGGCCTTTTGAGTTGCTTGTTCTTGAAGTGATCAATCCGGCTGTTTGGTGGCTCGGATTGGGCTGGCTGTTTAGGTGTCGCCTACATTAGCATGGCTAGCTGATTTGTCATGCTTCGTGGCTAGGACTAGGCCGGCTGTCATCTGGCCGCCTGCTTCCTTGGGCGAGACGCCAATGCCCAGCTTTCACAATAAGAGACTAGCACATGAACAAGTTAAAGCATTCACTCTCATGGCCAATTATATTACTACGAGCCAAGCGCTACTCCTCTCGGCAGGCCGAGAGATTTTTATATGTGCGAGTATTTTGGTTGTTTGCTTTTGGAAGAACAAGCTGGAACCAAACTCATTTGTATCAAGTATACTTGGCATTATATTTTTAGCAAAAACCTTGCGACTGTACCTTGATAAAACATCATATAGAGCCGGCTGTTTATGCGAGAATGAGGGTTGCTCTTATGGTTGTCGCCTAAAAGCTCAAAGGCTCGACGTTGGCATGCCACTACTGCACTCACAGTCGGGCCTTTATCGAAGAAAAAACAGCAGGCTTCCTAGACATGTAGAACAACCGACCGAGGAAGCTGTTCGTGACAAGCATCATGGGAGCCGGCTATGTATATAGCGATGTGGGCTGGTAGTTATGATACTACTTATGCCACTTGATAATATCAAATGCTAAGATTAACTTTGTAGTAGGTTGCCACCTAAGGCTCTTAGGTGGAGCTTTGCCATACAAAATCAGTAAGTTAGGCGCATGTGGCCGTATGATAATGATTTGATAATAATGAATTTTTTTTTTATTATTTTTTTTTATTTTAAAATCAATATCATAATAATGATTTGATAATAAATTTAATAATAGCTTACAAGCCTATCCATACGACTCTTGGCATCCTACCGTACGACGCTTGTAGTACTTGGCTGTCGGGCCGAATGCTGGGAGGCTGATATTTTGCCGGATGTACCCATTGAGTGTCGTGCTAGGCGTATGTAACTTTAATCGGGGTTGGTTAGACCTGGCCGACTGCTTATATTGTCGCCTGGTCTATTAATTTAGCATGGGCAAGAACTATGTCGGCTGTACCCTGTGAGTGTTAGCACACTTTTGTGAGGGTAAGTGCCGCCTGTCTGACTCTCATGGTTAGATTTTGAATACCTCATGGAGGTATGGTGGAGACTGTCTTGAAAATCAGACGTAGAGGCCGACTCTGATAGTCGGTCATTCTTCTTCTGCTCCAGCAACATTCGAGCATCAGAGAATGTTCTCTTTGACTCGTCCGGTTGAACATAACGGATGGGCTTTCTCTTCCCTTGTGAAGGGAAGTGATACTTCGTTTAGTCGATCACTGGCGACTGCCTTACCCCAGGCTTTGGCTAGGGGGTCGCCACACGATCCTTAACAAGTCTAGTTCTCCCGGGGTGGGAGGACGTTCTGGCCGACTGTTCCTTTGCGGGAACAAGCGTTCTCTTTTTTATTAGCTCCTGGATTTCTCCCTTGAAACCTCTCATGAAAGACATGAGTTCGTTCCTGGTAACAGGAGCAGACCCCTCGATCGCCTGTTGATGCTCAGGTGGTGGGACGGGTACGTCGAGCTCTAAGGGACCCGTCGGGGGTCGTGTGAGTCTCGACATCGATTTCATTGTCGGTGTCCTGGTCCGACTGAACCAGGGGGTCGTCCATGGGACGCTTGTCACTTAGAATCGGCACAGACTGTGATACCATCTCGAAAGTACTCTCCCCACAGACGGCGCCAAAATGTTTCGGGGTTTTCTAATGTCCTGCGGGAGAGTTACAATTCCGGGACTGGTATCCTTGCGCCTGTACCTGCAAAACAATGGAGACTCCTTGTGGTGGGAGCTCCGCCTCCAACGGTCAAGTTAGTACTTGTTTGAGGAGTAATAAATGCGGAAAGTAAAGGTGGGAGATCTGGTTCCTCTAGGGGAGGAGTGATCAATGTGTTTAGACTTCTCTAGGTGAGAGTCATCAATTGCTGAATCCCCTTTAATGAGGATTAATTAAGTATTTATAGTCTTGAGAAGCGTGTCCATTTTAGGTTTAGGTTAACCAGGGCAAATTGGGCTTCTCTCGGACTTTGGGCCTTGGTGGCCATTTTGCCTATTTGGCATATGGGAGGCCACGTGGCGTGGCCTGATTAGTCCATGTTGGACCTCTTAGGGTGACAAATGGCGGACGCTGATTGGCCCACGTGGTGGACACGTGGCAGGTCCAGATTGGTCCATTTGTCATGGGTAATTTTTACCCTAAACACTAAGGGTGCTCATGCTGCGCCGGTAGGCTAGGGAGAGGCTACCTCGGCTCTTAGAGGTGGTGGGATGTACGAGGTTGGCTCGTCATCGCAGCAGCCTTCGCAGCCTCAGCCTCAGGTTGATCTCGGGTGGGCTGGTCCCACGTTGAGTTTTCCTCCTCCTGCGGAGACTGGAGCTGATGTTGGAGCTGGAGCTGGAGCAGGTGGAGAGGTTACTCCTCGTACGGCAGAGTTCTATGCGATGATGAGTTTACCTCCCCCGGCGCCGTAGTTTGTACCTTTGCTTTTTATTATTTATTTGACTTTGTATAGAAATTTGCTTTTTAGTTAAACTTATTTTAGACATATTATGTATATACATACTATCATGAGTTTATTTTACTTATCATGTTTTTTTTCATTTTTTATTATTATCATTATTGTGTGCATGTTTGTGTGTGCAAGAAAGTGTGACACATAATTTTGCGCAAAAATTCCGTCATTTTTATTATTGATGGAGGGTATCCGACTTTCTCCCCCAAAAAAGAAAAAAATGAAAAAAGGAAAAGTCAAATAAAATATTGAATTTATAAAAACTTGAGAATAAGTCTAAATAATATAATTAATATAATAGCTATATTAATAAAAAAAAAGGAATAAATGAATATTTAGAAAAAGATAAGGAAGCCGTAAAGTCATTAGCAAACTCGAATTAAGTTAAAAACGCGGTTTTTAGAAAGCGCGTACAACAAGGCAAATTGTTGCCAGCTGGCGCCACACATTTTGGTTTAGCGCCAGGCCCTACACTTAGCTTTTGGCGCCAAGCTCTAGCGTCAGGCGCCAATAATAGCGTTTAGCGCCAAATAGCGCTGAACCCGTATCCTTCTTAGATTAAAACTGCTCCGATTTCGTGCATAAATAGCCCCATGCCCAGCCGATTCTTTTCATAATTTCAGCAACTAAAATAATTCTTAGCTCTAGAAAAAATAATACACTACAACAAATCATCACTTGTGCCACGAATTATGCCACGGGAATTCAAAATTCATGGCATAATTTTAACTAGCCACGGGAAAAATGAACATGATGAAAAACCAAAAATAAGAAGAAATTTTTATGCCACGGGTATTTATTTTCCCGTGGTAAATGTATCACTTGTGCCATGAGTAGTGCATTTTCCGTGGCAAACTTTATATTTGTGCCACGAGTAGTTTTTTCTTGAGGCAAATTTTGCACTAGTGTTTCATGTAAGAATTTTCCCATGACAAACGTACACTTATGCCACGGTTTTGGCTACTACAAATAAAATCATATCTAGCTTAGATCTGGTCATGCCATGGAATAGAAAAAAATAGCATACAATAACTTTATTAAGAATATATAATTACACATGAATTAGCCATGTTACTTCGTCTTTTCCTTACTTCTAAACTTTAAATACCATAAGCACTAGTTAATACAAAATAGAATATTAAAAGACACCTAAGAAATGCACGGGTTTTACTCAGTCCCTATAATATTTAAATTAAAATAAAGAAAAACCTCGTTATCTGATGCGCAATAATTTTTTTAAAATTTTGCTTTATATTTAATCTATTTCTAAAATACATTTAAATTTCTTATTATATAAATGCTTGGCTTTTTTTTTTTTATTCGGTGCAATGTCAATAAGTGCATATTACTAATCACTAGTAGAAATTTTTTTAAAGACTACACTAGTTATATAAAATCTTAATTTGGATAAGTTTTCAAAAAAAAAAAAAAATCTTAGTTTGGATAATATAAGATTATATTTTTGTTGGCGGAAATATAAAATTATATTTAAATAACATAGACACGTTAATGCTTTTTTTCCTAATTTTATTTTTCAAGTCTTTCCTCTTTCTCATAATTGACCATTGTTTTTACAAAAAATTAATGAAAATATAAAAAAACACAAGACTCTTTTCGTGATTTTATTTTACAATAATAACTTAATAAGTCAGGCCCCAAAAGGCCAAAACCCAAATTCCCTCATCCACAAAAAAAAAAAACTACTCATCCATCACGTACAACCACTCACTCCATCTTGCCGCCCACTCCACCGCACCGTCTACTCCCTGATGTCCCCTCTACCGAGGCCGACCCCAGGCTTCTTCAATTCAAAACGATGAAGAATTGAAGAGAAATTCGATAATCTGAGTTGAAATAGGGAAATTAGGGTCTTTATAAGGAGGAATTTGGGGGAAATTGCGAAAAAGAGGTTCATAACTCTGCCAGGCTGGCACACCGAGCAACCAAGAATGCACGGTGCCACACGTTTGTCAGTTTCACGCCATTCACGGTAAGTTTTAGTTTTTTACTTTTCAAATCTTTTCATTTTTTCAATGTTTCATTCATATAATTCTACTTGTTTTTTAAAGTTTCATTTTTTAATTTGTATCATGATAGTATCTAGTCCGTGGATTAATGGATTATAGCTAATTTATGGTTGAATTAGTTTTAGATTATTCAAGTGATTAGTTGAATTAGTTGTTAGATTTATTGAAAAATTTTGGGTTTCAATTACTTTGGTATCATTTTGCAACAATGTGGAGTATTATGTCTGTTTATTGGTCCGAATTTGATATATAAATCATGAAACTCATTGTACTCTAAGGGTCGGAATTCGATATAGCTAATTGAAATATGCATGTTGTTCAGAAAATCCTTGCATGTAAAGTGTTAGTTTATTTAACAAGTAAGATATTGTGAAGAATAAGCCTATAATAATTTGGATTATCGTTGTATACTTGTATTCTATTCAGTATACTGTTGGAAATGTCACCAATATATGCATTTAGGGACAAGTGAAGCTCTGTATTCCTTTACTTTTATTCCATTAAATATAGACCCTGGCTTTATATTATCAAACTATACTATTGAGATGTGGATTACATTTTATCACTTTTATTGATCCATCTATTATTCTTTGGATTGTACCTTATGTAATTATCTCTCTCATTAATTAACACTCATATAATCAGGTTGGATCATGGACTTTACCTTAGTAATAACAAGGTTAAAATCATTTCCTAACTTTTGAAGATTGTTTGGGATTTGAACTTTGGAGTGCCTGATGAATCGATCTATTGCTTGGGGTAAGGGAATTCAGTTCCAAATAAAGGGGAAAACAGGAAAAAAAAAAATGAAACATGTAAAGTTCTTGTTAAGTTAGCTCTCCCTATTTGTTAAAATTAATTTGACTGTAGTATTTCATGGTGTTGGCTCATTTGTGATTAATTTAATTTATTATTAGATACTTCCTCCGTTTTCTTTTAGATGCAACACACAGTTTTTAACGGTATTTAAGAAATATGGGGTTCACAAGATATAATACACTTTAAAATGGGATGAGTGGTTGTTAGGAGTGTAATTTAGTGGGCCATGTGCTTTAAATAAGGGAAATAGTATATTTTTTCCCTAAAGTAACTTTCCTTTTATAGTGTGTTGCAAGTATTGTGACATTTCCTTTTTAGGGAAGTGTTGCAAGTAAAAGAAAACCGAGGGAGTAGATATTTTTTATATATATTACCTGTTATTGGAACTTATTAACATTATTGGGGTTAAAAAAGTGGTATAGTTAGTTGTACAAATGTGATTGATGGGTGGCTCAAATGGGACTAAAGTAAGAAATTTACAGCCTAAATTTGAAATCAACATGTCAATTACTCAACCTTAGAAAGTGATTGCTGTGATTTGATTTTAATTTTTCAAATGCTATCACCCAATGCCTTATACTGTCTTCTGAGCTTTGTTGTTGCTAAATATATTTTGCAGATACATTTATCTTGGTCTTATGATAGTAAAGTTGAATCTACAAGGTTATCAGTCGTTTTAAGTTTCACTTAATATGCTAGCGACAAATTTGTTAAAACAATTATGAACTCTGCTTTTTTTGATGGATTTAGATCTATTACAAAGCAGCTTTGCAATGTAAGGGAATGGAAGATGTAAGGGAACAGAAGCTGTTACTGATTTTGATCCAAACATATATGGAGAAGGGCTGATCTCTGGATCCCATGATGGAGGTACTACCTGTTCAAATTCATAATTTACATATTTTTGGTGATCAATTATATGAATAATACAATTGATTTGAACTTGAGGATAGTTAGCCCCTCTTTTGCTGATAGAGAGAAGAAAACCCATAGTGCTGGCAGCTATCCTTTTTTGCAAGGTTAAAACAGTAGGCTAAATTTCATGAGAGCAATGGCATGTACTGGATCATTTCAATCTTTTTCATAAGTGTTAAAATTTCTTTTTAAATGTTAAAACGGTGCCATGCATTGTGTTTTTAGGATCAGAACTTGTTTTAAGCAACAACAGGACTGCCAGAAGTTTATATTATCCATTCCCTTCAGAGCACCCTGGTGTTTGAAATGGTTGATTGCACTTTTCAAATTCTAGTTTAACCAATTTTTATCTTTGTGTGTATACTACTATATTGCCTTGGGTTAGGTGATTAGAAATTGTTGCGTATTATTTAAACAAATAGAAGTCAGTTGCAAGCTTAGCTTTCAATTTAAATTGTTACACTTGACAGGAAAGAGCAATAGCAAAGACAATTGTAAATGCTGCTGTCATTGTAAATGTTGTGCTGTCGTTGCTCTAAGTGCCTTGCATAGTCTTTGTTGGTTGTTTCAAGAGCTACAATTGTTATTTAGATGGGCTAATACTTTTTTTGTTTAATGTTTTAGGACGTCGCTGAAGAGTTAGAAGGGCTCAATGTTGTTCAGCAGAACATCAAGTTTCACTAAAATGCTCACATTTGAGATCCCCTTTTTAAGCTAAACTGGTTTGATGCTCCGATTAGCAGCAGTGAACTGATGCGTTCTTGCCGTATCAATTTCAACACAGCAGATTATTTTTGGTTTAAAGTAGAAGACATGAATATAATTATATATTGTAATAATCTAGCTAATAGTTTATTATACACACAAATGATATAAAATTTGTAACTTTATGTATATGTATTAAGTGTCTAAACTACTTTGCTTTCAAAAATATAATTTTTCTTAAACATTATTAGCCATAATAATATTTATTATAACAACAAAGTTTGTTAGCCAGGGAAGTATTTTAGGTAAAGAAGCTAATTAGTTACTCTAATACTTGTGGCAACAAAGTTTGTTAGCCACGGTATAGTTTGTGGCAAATAATATGTTAGCCACGTTAGTACTTGTAGCAAGAGAATTTCTTAGCCACGTGAATACTCGTGGCATAAATATTGAAATTTGCCGCGACATCCATTTTCCCATGACAAATTTCTAGCCATGCCCTCTTGTGCCACGGGAGTAAATTTTGAAATTCCCGTGGCTAAATTGGATAGCCACGTGAATTCTAAACTTGTGCCACGATTTTACTCGAGGCACAAGAGTCAATTTGTTGTAGTGATATCATGTCTCTAGTCACCAAGACTTTCACAAACTACACCCATGAATGGTGTCGGTCTCTAAATGCCAAAGAAAGAAAAGAATTAGATGTATTTCACTTGGGGGGTATTTATGGCATCAAAGGGGTGGATCTTAACTTAGATTTTATTCATACCGCTTTTGAATATTGGGATGTAGATACCCATTGCTTTAGAATAGGGATGATGAAATTAGCCCTTTGCCGGAAGAATTTGGTGCTATTTTAGGTTTCCTTGCAATAGATCTCATAGTAATCCCTAGAATAGATGCATATTATTATAAGGATTTTGAACGCTTCTTCAATTTAAAAGAAAGGGATTTATCAAAAGTAGTATATGGCAACATAATTAATTTGAAAGAATTTGCTCGCCATTATTTTGATAAACCTTACTCCGAATCTTTTCATATTTATAGAAGAAGGGAAGGGCTTTCTTATTTTGTATGCTTAATCAATTTTTTCTTAGTAGTGGTAAAAATAATGAGGGCCAATCAATTATAACCACCGTATTAGAACAAATTGAATCAAGGAGAAATCCAATGCCATTAATAGTTGGAGAGACTATGATTGGTCTTGATGAATTGAAGAGGAATCCGAAAGCACCTTTTCGGGGCTCTCCAATTTTATTACAGGAAGAAAAATAATATTTTTAATTACAGAAATCAAAAATATATTTTTGTATAGTAATAATAATTTATTTGCATTGCAATTTTTTACAGATGTGGCTAATGGAAAGGCTGGAATTAATTAGCCCTCCAGACAACATTGAGAAGTACACTCCGAATTGTTTCGTGAGGAGGAAGAAACGCTTCTCTAAGATGGGGCGCCACGAATAGAAGAAAGTCATCGACTCCTGCAATTTTGCCATCAAGTGGGTCATCCCTTGGTGGAAAATAGAAAGGATGGTTGGTGTCAACAAGCTACCATTTTGTCGTCTTCCAAGCTTGTCCCGTATGACTTATTATTATCCGTGTAGGGTAAAAAGACATTACGGCCTACTTCAGATTATTCCTTCCGGAGATCTTCGTCCTCCTACGAGTTCCCTGTCTCCCAAGAAGTAGACAAATTTGATTCATATTGGAGTGCTAGACCTCTATGGGAAGTGATTACCCAAAAGGTTCCTCCTTCCTTGCCCAATGATGTGAAAAGTGGCTGCTGAAGGAACCTTCAAAGGACTTGAAGAAAAATCAGGGTAAAACTGATCTGAAGAGTCGTCTAGGTGACAAGGTGATTCCTGCTAAGGAACGCTTAGGTGAAAGAGTTGAATTCAAAACACCTGCAATGCCTAGGAAGAAAAGTACTACGAAAGACAAGGGAAAAAGGAAAGTTGACACCACAGAGAAAAAATCTTGGGTAGAAAAGAAGCATGGAGTCCTAGCTGAAGGGGAAACTATCTACTCCAAGATTGAATGTAGGTCCTCTAAAGGATGCCTACTAGCTAAGGTTATGGATGAGGAGGAAGAAGCAGACAAAAATTGGAAAAGGGCTAGGAAAGAAAAAGAAGATTAAGAGCATTGCTTAATTTTCAATTATTAGACTTAGTTTATTATTTAAAGTTAATTTATTTAAGCTTTATTTAAATTCCATCAATAATGTAATTTTATTTAATTAATGAAATTTCAGCTTTTAATTAAATTATTTACTTTAAATTTATTTTATTAAAGCAATGAAAACCGAAAGAAATTAATTTTCCAGACATTTTTCGAGTACGGAAGTCGAAAATTTTCCGAAAAACACCGAAATATTCCCAGAATTCAAACTGTGAATTGGCGCCACCTATCTGCGACTGGCGCCGGCCACGACAGTCTAGCGTCAGGCGACTGTGCTGTCGGCTGGCGCTAATGGTCCTCGGCTGGCGCTAGAATTTTTTCTACGACGCCGATATTTCGCCGATCTTCTGTCGAATTTTCAATTAATTCTGGGATGCGAGATTTTTGAAAAATAAAGTGGCCGCACCCGTAAAGGGTTGTCTACGTATCCTTTCTTAAGGAATCAGGCCAAACGTAGCTCTCTTGAGTATCCTACTCAAGTAATTATGGGTAGTATTTCTTAAGTTGGTCAAGATTTGTCATATTCGAAAACTCATTGCCATCCATATCAGTTAATTTTGCTGCACCTCCTGACAGGATTGTTTTGACAATATAGGGTCCAGACCAATTAGGTTTAAATTTTCCCCTTGGATCTTGAACATTTTTCCTTAATGCTTTTAACGCCAAGTCTCCTACTTTGATGTTTTTTGTCTTGACCTTCTTATTAAAATGCCTAGCCATACAAGTTTGATAACACTGAGTGTGATGTAGAGCTTCTAGTCGTTTTTCATCGAGTAGAATTAATTCTTCATATCTTGCCCTAGTCCATTCAACTTCATCAAGTTTACTCTCTAACGCGATGCGTAGAGATAGAATCTCTAGTTCGACAGGTTATACGACATCCATTCCATATACCAAGGAAAATGGCGTATTTCCTGTTGATGTGTGAATTGACGTGCGGTAACCCCACAATGCGAAGTGAAGTTTGTCGGGCCAATCATTATAATTTTCCGTCATTTTCTAGATGATAGTCTTTAGATTTTTATTGGCTGCCTCGACTGCTCCATTTGCTTGAGGCCTATACGGGGAAGAATGATGATGTTGAATGCTATATTTTTGTAACAATTCTTCACATTCGGCTTGAAAGTGAGTTCCATTGTCACTTATCATTTCATGTGGGACTCCATATCGACAAATAATATTTCTCTCGATAAAGAGTGCTACATGTTTTGCAGTGAGTTTAGCGTATGATTGCGCTTTGACCCACTTTGTGAAGTAATCAATTGCTACTAAGATATATTCATGGCAACCTGTTCCTGGGGAGTGATCTTGCCGATGATGAGAATTCCCCATGTAGAGAATGGACATGGCGACGTGTAGGTGTAGAGCAAGGATGGAGGAACATGTTGTAAATTGTCATATATTTGGCACTTAGGGCATCTTTTTACGTATTGATGGCAATCCCTATTCATTGTAGTCCAATAATATCCTTCTCGCATTATCTTTTGGATTAACATTTTGCCGTTTATATGAGTGCCACAGATTCCTTCGTGGACTATCCTCATTTCTCTTTGTGCATCATTTTTCCTACACATAAGAGAGCTCGACCTTTAGGTACCCTTTTATGTAGCTCGTTGTCTATGAGTACATATTGGGAACCCAAGAGTCTTAATGCTCGTTTTTCTCTTTTGTCAGCGTGGGGAGGGTATTCACCTTTGGTGACATAATTGAGTATATACGTGTACCACGGTTATTCTTCTTCTTCTTCTTCTTCTCCGTCTTGGACTATTTTGTCATCTTCTATAGTCTGGATATATGCTGGTTTGTGCCTTTTCTCTATAGTTAGAGGCATTTGCTCAATTTTCGTGGGAATCCTAACCATTGAGGCTAGTCTTGCCAAGGCATCAGCAAATTGATTTTCTTCCCTAGGTAGATATGTGTATTCTACCTTCTCTAACTGATCGGTAAAAGTTTCCAGATAGGTTTGGTAAGGGGCTAGACTTTCGCTCCTTACTTTCCACCTTTTAGATATTTGATTGATAATCAAAGAAGAGTCTCAAAATATCCTTAACTTTTTTACTCCCAATGCCAAAGCTGTTTCAAGGCCTACCACGCATGCTTCATATTCAACAGCGTTGTTGGTAACGTCTAAATCAAGCTTTATGGAGATTGGGACATGCTCTTCTTTAGGTGATACAAGTAATACTCCAACGCCACATCCCTTTTGGTTTGAGGCTCCGTCGAAGTACAAGGTCCAAGTATCATCTTCGGTGACCATTAAGTCTTCATCTGGAAATTCATTGTCTTATATTGGCGTCGAGTCTTCTATTGGAAAATCTGCTAGAAAGTCTGACACCACAGATCCTTTGATAGCATTTTGTGGCATAAACCTTACATCAAACTGGGCTAAATTGACTATCCATCTTGATATGCGTCCATTGAGTGTAGATTTCTTGAATAGATACTTGAGTGGATCTAATCGGGAGACTACGAAGACGGTATGCACTAGCATGTAATGTCTTAACTTGGTTGTGGCCCACACCAAGGCGAGGCACAACTTCTCAAGTGGTGTATAACGTGCTTCATATTCGAGCATTTTCTTGCTTAGATAGTAGATTGCGTTTTCTTTGCCTTCTACTACTTGTGCTAACATAGCTCCCATTGTTTCTTTGGTAACCGTCAAATACAATCTAAGAGGTATTCCGGGAAGTGCTGGTGCTAATACGGGAGGATTTGCGAGATAGGCTTTGATCTTTTTAAAGGCTTTTTAACACTCGTCATCCCATATCACTGGTACATTCTTCTTAAGCTTTTTGAAGATTGGTTCACATATCGTCGTCAATTTCGATATGAACCTACTTATGTATTGCAACCAGCCAATAAATCCTCGAATCTGTTTCTCAGTTTTGGGCGGTGGCATTAACATGATTGCTTTAATCTTGGTTGGGTCTATCTCTATTCCTCTAAAGCTTATGACATAACCCAAAAGCTTGCCTGAGGTGACTCCAAAAGCACACTTAGATGGGTTCAACCTTATATTATATTTTCTTAGCCTTTCGAAAAATTTCCTTAAGGCTACTTGATG